GGGTCTTGTGGCTCATGGGTATTTTAGTGATATATTGGGAAAGGTTATTTCAGGGCCTGAAAGGAAGTTCAATCTCTCACTCCAGGTGGAAATCCTCTTTATTATACCCTTACGTGAGTGTTACCCAGACTTTGGTTGAACTCCTGTATCGATGGAGAATTCCCTTCTTTATACAAAAGGTCAAGTTAGTTAATATATTTCTACAAGTTTAAACTCCAGAGTCAGATGAGTTATTGTGCTTAAGTACTATGATCCTAGTTTCACAGGTGAGGAAACTGAGGTGTGGGGAGGTTAAGTAAGTTGCCAATTGTCACACAGCTAATCACGGGGGAGCTGGGGTTTGAACCTGGTCAGATCTGTAGTCTAGTTCCATTATGCTTTTCTGCCTTCCTGTCAGATGTCCCTATTCCTACCCTGGTTCCTGAAGCTCATTCAACTTTAACATTGCGTTTAATTTTTACCAACTAGGTTTGATCCTGTTAAAATCCATTGAGGTATTTTGGAATATTACACCTGTTGTTGAAACATCACTGAGTGTACTTACTTTTATTAATTTATTGCCCCGTTTGCATCTTGCCCAGAAGAGTACTGTGGAAACTTAACCATCTTAGAATGTCAGCTTTATTAAGATAAGGAGCCCAACCAGTATGGCGCAGTGGTTGAGCGTTGCCCTAGGAACCAGGATGTCACTGTTTGATTTCCAGTCAGGGCACAATAGAGGTCATGATTTGATTCCTGGTCAGGGCACATGCCCGGGTTGCAGGCTCAATCTCCAGTGTGGGGCATGCAGGAGGCAACCAATCAATGATTCTCTCTCATCATTGATGTTTCTATCTCTCCCTCTTCCTTCCTCTCTGAAATCAATAAAATAAAAAAATACAGGGAATTCTGTTTATAAGTATTTTCTTATACCTGAAACAGTGCTGAGTACATATAAGGAGCTCAATAAATACATGCCAAATGATTGAAAAAGGTACACAGAGTTTTCATTACATCAGTCTAGTAGTTTGGTTGTTCTTTCCAATAGACAGGTTTGCTTTTTAATAGCTGGCTATTTATAAATTAAAACAATTATAAAGTAATTCAGTAATAAAGGGGCTGTTGAATAAACAAGATTGTAAAGTTGGGATTCTGAATTATATCAGCTTCAACTTTTGTTTCAGTATTTTGTTTTGGTTTACAATAGCTAGATAATATTAATTTACACAAAGATGCACTTGCAAACAGTAACTTTTAATAAAAAAAGAACAAAACACAGTTTATCCTGAAATCTTATGATATTCTTTCATTAAATGAAACCTAATGATTGAAGATAGTTAATTTGTGTTTCAAAGAGAAACTGTAACACTATCTAATGCCTAATATCTAATCATGCACCTATTCTTGATTATGAAAGCTGGGCCAAACCTGCCCTAATTTACAGCACACAGAGTGGGGGTTCTCCAGCCAGAAGCAGGAAGGCTGTTAGCGATGCAGAGTCTCAGGTCACACTTGATATGGGTAGAGTCAGAATTTAAACTTTAAATGTGATTTAAATGTACATTAACCTTTGAAAAGCACTGTCAACTTTAAATCTCAGGGTGGACCTGAGGTTCTGCACTTCCAACAGCTCCCAGACAATGCTGTTGCCAATAGTCCATGAGCCACGCGTGGAACAGCAAGGTTCTGCAACTTCTGTCCTAATGAGAACGTTACACAGTTACATGCATTGACTCTCAGGCTGTGGCAAGAACATAGACCTGGTAGGCAGACCGAGTTAACTTGCCAGTTATGGGTACAGAGCAGGTAGGCTGGAATAGTGTGCTTATTTCCATGTACATTTTAAAAAGTATGTATGTGCAGACCTGGATAAAAAATTCTGGAGAACTACATCTTTTTATATCTTTGACACAGAAGTTTAGATATTATGCATAGAAATGGCAGCAAACGCATAATTCTCAGATCTGCATAAAAATGAATTCTCCTGGCAGCACAAGCCAATGTGTGTGTTTGCATTTCTAGTTTTCAAAATAGTTAAAAATGTATTTCAAAAGTGAAAAAAATACCCCAGAACTCTGGAATCTCACAGTTTGAAAACTATTGGTAAAGTGAAAAGACTGGGCATTTGTCACTAACATATTGTTGACTTTGGGCCCAACATATAGCCTTTCTGGATTTCTTTTTTCTTCCATCAGTAAAAGTAAAGGTTCTAACTAAATAGTCTCTCCCTTAAGATGAATTCTTTAAAAAAATTTTTTAAATTGATTTCAGAAAGGAAGAGCGAGGGAGAGGTAGATAGAAACATCAATGACAAGAGGGAATCATTGATTGGCTGCCTCCTGCACACCCCACACTGGATATCGAGCCCACAAACCAGACATGTGCCCTGACTGGGAATTGAACCGTGGCCTCCTGGTTCGTAGGTCGACACTCAACCACTGAGCCACGAAAGCCAGGCTAAGATGAATTCTGAGAAACAGAATCCATAGAGTGGATGGATATATATAGAGTGTCCCCCCAAAATGTATGCACACATTTTGAATAATGATAAAGGCAGGGTTTATTAAAATACATTTCATTTTAAAATTGAGCTGTCAGCTGAAATATGTATACACTAGAGGCCCAGTGCATGACATTCATGCACTCGGGGTGGGGGGAGTGTCCCTTAGCCCGGCCTGTGCCCTTTAGCATTCTGGGATTCCTTGGGGGATGTCCAACTGACAGCTTAGGCTTAAGCTGCAGTTGGACATCCTTAGTGCTGTCGCCACCGCTGCTGTGATCTCCAGCCATCATCCTGGTTTGTGGCGAAGCGGTGCTTCCCCTGTGGGAGCACACTGACCACCAGGGGGCAGCTCCTGTGTTGGGCGTCTGCCCCCTGGTGGTCAGTGCGTGTCATAGCGACTGGTCGTTCCACCCTTTCGTAGATTTGTATATTACCCTTTTATTACATAGGATTTTTTGAGACGCCTGGTACAGTGGGGCCTTGACTTACGAGTGTCCCGACTAACGAGAATTTCAAGATACGAGCAGTCTCTCAGCTGATTTTTTGCTTTGAGTTGCGAGCTAAAATTCGGGTTATGAGCCAGCTTCAGATACCCCACCGCTAGTTGGCGCCGCGAACATCACAGTGAACGCAACAAGATCAGCCCAGCATCACGTGTCTCACTCGTTCACTTTATGATTTGACATACAAGTAATTTGAGTTACGAGCTCTGTCACGGAACAAATTAAACTTGTAAGTCAAGGCCCCACTGTATATATAAAATGAGATTTATTATAAGAAATTGGCTCATACGACTATAAAGGCTGAGCAGTCCCGTGATCTGGTGTGTGTGCTGGAGGACCCAGGAAAGTTAATGGTATAAATTCCAGTCCAAGTCCAAAGGCCTGAGAACTAGGAGAGCCAATGTTGCGAGTCCCATTTAAGCACAGAAGATGATCAGTGTTTCAGCTCAACAGTCAGGCAGATAGAAAGAATTCAGCCTTCCTCTGACTTTTCTCTGTGGGCCATCCATGGAGACGAAATCTGCTTTACTCAGTCTACCAATTCAAATGCAGAGACCCTCTCCCAGACACACTGGGAATAATGTTAACTGGGTACCTGGGTATCCAGTGGCCCAGTCAAGTTGACACACCAAATTAATCATAGCCTATGTCTTGCTCTGCAGCCTGATAGAACTTTAGAGTTTCATTAAGTCCAATTCTTTGATTACAGGGGCTGGTTTGGCATAGTGTAGGGCCAAGGATTTGAGCCAGTAGATAACTATGTGTCCTTGAGCAAGCATGAACCTACAGGGGGTGCTCTGTAAAATGGAGTTCATATTTGTGCTTATGCCATATGTAGTTTTGAGGATTATAGTAGGTAATGCATGTAAAGCACTAAGTGTATTGTTCAATATATATTAGCTGTTATTTCTTTTCCAGATGAGAAAACTGAGGTGGAGAAGTAAATAATTTGCCTGAGGTTCAATATTCCCTTATTATAGACTTGGATCTAGAAGCCAGATCTTCTCATTCCCAATAGAATCTTCTCTCAACCCTAGGCTGGCTTTGCTGAAATACTCACCTTTTAAACTTGAAAAAAAATTCTTTTAATAAATTCTTTAAAATTTTGCTTGGTCAGATAGCACCCCACTGGCCACATGATGTGTCTTTCTTTATGTGTCTTCGTTTTCATAAGAATAATTTGTGATTATCTGAATAGTTTTATCTTTATGGTTTATTATATTCTATATACTGGGGATATGGATGATCAGTTTTTGAG